AAATGCCCAGCAGATGTGGAAAAGTGATCAGCAGCATAAATCATCAGGGAACCACAATGTTGTATCACCTCACACTTGTTAAAATGGTGATTGTCAAAATGACAAAAGACAAAAAGTGTTGATACAGATTTAGAAAAAGTAGAACCCTTGGAGTTAGGGTAGACTTGTGCAGCCACTGTGGAAAATACTATACAGCAGTGGTGGTGAACTTACAGCATGCATGTTACTGTGTTTTTCTTTTAAGACAAAAGATGTTAATAACATGTTTTTTTCTAAACTAAAAACCTTAGTATTTAGGTTTAATAGCAGTGTTGGCACTTTGGGATAAATGGGATTTGGGTTGCAATTTGGGCACTCGGTCTCCAAAAAGTTCATCATCACTGGTATAGAGGTCTTCAAAATATTTAAAATAAGACTATCATATTATCCATCAATCTCATTTCTGGGTATGTAGCCAAATAAAATGAAATCAGTATATCATAAACATACCTACATTCCCATTTTAATTGCAGCATGATTAACAACAGTTAATATATGAAAATAATTTAAGTATTCAAAGATGAACGTATGTGAGATATATACACACAATGGAATATTCAGTCTAAGAATGAATTCATGTCTTTTGTGGTAACATGAATAGACCTAGGAAATATTATGTTAAGTGAAATTAAATAAGGGACAAAGAGAAAAAAGACAAATATTGAGGCTGGGGATGTTACTCACAGGTAAGACACCTGACTAGCATATATGAGGCCCTGGGTACAATCCCCTGTAAAAAAAAAAAAAAAAAAAAACGACAAATACTGCATGATTTTACACATAAAAACTTAAAATAGTGGAACTCTTAGAAGCAGACAGTAGGTTGGGAGGTCAGGGGTTAAGGGATGGGAGAAGTGGAGAAATGTCTAAAACAGTACAATTTCAGAAATTCAAGATTAATAATTTCTAGAGATCTAATGTACAGCACAGTGACTATATTTAGCAATAGTGCATTGTATACTTGAATTTGCTGAGAGTATAACTTCATTGTTTCCACATACACAAAAAAATGGTAACTATTTGAAGTGATGAATAGGCTAATTAGCTTGAAATGGGAAATACTTATCAGTGTATATGTATATCAAAATATCATTTTGTTAACCTTAAATGTATTCCATTTTATTTATCAATTATACCTTTTTAAAGGTGGGAAAAACTGTTACAAAATAAACTTCAGGCCCAGAAGCCTTTGCTAGGCTATTCTACAAAACACTTTAGAAAGAAAGAAAGCCAATCTTCATGAACTCTTCCAAATTAATGACAGAGTGAATATGTTCCAACTCAGCCCATGTGCTCACTATTACCCTATCAGGAAAACAGAAGACATCACAAGAAAAGAAAATTACAGATTCATGTCCCTTAGAAACCTAAATATAATAATTCTTCAGAACATATCAGCAAATAAAATTGTTAAGTTTGAGGCCAGCCTGAGCTATATAGTTTGAAGCCAGCCTGGACTACATACCGAGGCCCTGACTCAAAAAAATAAATAAATAACATAAACAAGCAAAAAAAGTAGGACATCATGACCAAGTGGAGTTTATCAGAGGGATGCAAAGTTGGTACAACATTCAAAAATCAATCAGTGTAACTCACCACACTAACAAGTCAGAAAAGTAAGTTCATATGATCATCTCAATATATGCAAAAAAGCACTGGGGATGTAGCTCAATGCAAAGATTCTAAGTAAAATCCTCATTATCACCATTATGATCATTAATTTTATTCTATTAAATCCATCTTGGTTTTTTATGATAATCACTGTTATTAAAGATTAGTGCATCATCTCTCTTTCTGAGATACTGGGGATTGAACCCAGGGCCTTTACATTTAGCTACATCCCCAACTCCTTTTTATTTTTTTAAATTTTGAGACAAGGTCTTGCTAAGTTGCCCAGGCTGGGCTTGAACTTGAGATTCTCTGCCTCCCAGAGTGCTGGGATTACAGGTGCTCCACCATACCTGCTTAGTGCATTCATTATCTTTTCAAATATTATTTTATGCATTACATAGATACATATATATATAATTGTTTAAGATAATAGATCATAATTAAACTTAATTTTTCACTTTTCCTAATATTCATTTCTTTCCAGGTCACTCAAATTACTGATAGAATATAATATTTCCCCTTAAGGGCTTATTAAAATTCATTCTCACAATCACTTAAAAATACTTACTAAATAGGTAGTTTGGTAGACTATGCCTAATATGGTATTTATTAGTAACTTCTCACTACTGAACACTTATTTGTGACTAGATCAAAGAAATGCTGTAAGTCTAAAATATATACCACTTTGGACACTGTATAAAAATTTTAATAATACATATATTGACAGCTGAAATATTTTAGATATATTGGGACAAATGTATTATTAAAGTTAATTTTACCTGTGTCTTTTGACTTTCTTCAATGTGATTATTAGAAAATTTAAAATTATGTATATTCTCATGTTTGTGGATCATTCTGTATCTCAACTGAACAGTAGTGTTCTAAACCATAAAGATACATAAGTGAACAATCAGTACCACCTCCAAGGAAGTAATGTATAGTCTGGCGAATAAAAACAGTAAACATAGCTGGGAGTGATAGTGCACAACTGTAATCCCAGCATTCTGGAGGCTGAGGCAGGAGGATCACCATGAGTTTGAGGCCAGCCTGGGATACATAATGAGATCAGGGCCAGCCTGAACTACACAGCAAGACTCTGACTCAAAAATATCAAATAAATAAATAAACATACAAATATAAAATCATACATATGAGGTATAAATAGCAAAAAAATCCAGTAAATGTTTAAAATTTTTGAAATGTATTACAATAAAAGATACATTGAAAATAATCCCCCTCAAAATACTTTTCCTTGCTTCAAACACACATATCCCATTGTTCTTGCCACTTTCTAAAGCAGTTCTGTAAGCCCTCATTTGTGAGTATCTTTAATTGCACTGATGTGGCTGTTTTTTTGTTTTTGTTTTTGTTTTTTGGTACCGGGGATCAAACTCAGATCCTTGCGCTTGTGCAGCAGGCAGTGAAACCACTGAGCTAAATCCCCAGCCCTGATGTGGCTGTTTTGATGTCTAAATTATTCCAAACGTTTGCTTGTGCTGATCATTTTGACTTGACCCATGTTGTACTCACCTCCACACTTTGCCCTATAAAAAATTCTTGGAGAGATAACCTTGAAGCAACCCACTCTGTACCCTCTCCTGTCTCTCAGGAGCTATTCCTATACCCCATTCCTACTTCCCAATAAACCTTTCCTACTCTTAATCTCCTTTGTCCATGGAATTTATTCTTCGATTTCAAGGGACACGAAATCCACACATCTGACATCTAGGAAGTTGGGAGTTAGAACTCATATCAATACTGGAATACTGGCAATGAATTTGGCCATGACAAAAACTTTTTAGAGGTTTTGATCTTCCCATTTCTAATTACGTGTGATTAATTTCTATGGTCTACTTCATCCATGGCTGGTGGAAGGGAAAATTGGAATCTTTTAGAAAGTAACTGGCAGCCAGGGCTTTAACTCAGTGGTTCTGCCACTTGCCTCACAAGCGCAAGGTCCCGAGTTCGGTCACCAGCACCAAGAAAAAAAAAGTTGGTAATACATATTATATTTAAAATCTTAAACTCACTTAAAAAGGCTTATGCCTTTTACTCCAGTATTATCACTTGTCAAACATTATTCTAAGGGGGGGACTTAAAAAAAAGAAAACCAATATACAATAAATTGATCACTAAAAAAAATAAATAAATTAGCCAGGGATTTAGCTCAGTTGTTTCACCGCCTGCCTCAAAAGCGCAAGGACCTGAGTTTGATCCCCAGTACCAAAGAAAAATTTTTTTAAAAATAAATAAGTAAATAAATCTATCACTGAATGTTAAATACAATGGAAAGAGTTGGTTTTATTAAAGAAAGTTAAGTTACAGTGCATATTCAATGGAACACTTTCCAACAATATGAAATGAAGTACTTAGGTTAAATGAAAAATACAACGTGTATGCATCTATGTCTGGATCACTACACAAAAATTTGATAGTTCTAAGAATAAAGAGATAAGGGGAATGTGAAAAAATGAAAATTTTATTTTTATTGAGGTGAGAGGATTGTGAGCAGTTCTCCCAATAACAAATTTGGGATCGCTAGAAATATTGTACAGCTTTCTATTTACGAGTTACACATACTATTTTAAGATTATTCAATATGACTTTTTATCAAAAGTGCTTCTATTTCAAATTTCCCCAAGTCTGGGAAATTGAGAAATTAGTGTTGTCGGCATTCCCTATTAATGTATTTTTGTACTTTTTATAATGCACTTGAAATTTTACTATACTTTCCAGAGCAGAAAACTGAGTACTGACAAAACCGTTGAGAAGCTAATCTGACCACCAACTATCTTCCTAGGACCTTGGAGTAACTGTTTCTAAAATTATTTCTGATCCATAATTTTCTTTTTTAATCTTACTGTTAAGTGCTTCATATTTTCAACGTGATTTAATCCCACGCTCAGTTAAACTTTAGCAGAAGCCTGCATTTATTTCTTCAGTGCTCAAAAGATAAAAGCAGTGGATGCTCAATCACCCGCAAACACGTACAGAGAAATTTGTGCAAGATTCCTCTCTTCATTAAACAACATCCTAATTTCTACGCAGAGCACTTGGAAATACTACACGATTCTGCAACCCCCCCCAAAAAGGATGCTGAGACGCGGGGGATAAGGAAGTTAGGGGCGCTTTTGCTGCATAAGATACCGAGTCAATAAAGAGTGACTAAGTCTGAAAAGAGCACGTCAGCCCTCAAATACCTTTTTAACTCTTTAAGGAATCTCATCTATGAACGTCAGGTTCTCGGTACGACCCTGCGAACAACCGCCTCAGTCCAATCTAGCGCCGCGCCGCCGCAAACGTCAGGACGCCCATCGCTTTCTCCGCCTCGTCTCCTCTTTTCTGCGCCTGCGCTACCGGAAAATTCGCGAAGGTTCCTGAAGCGGAACCGGCCGTTTCCGGAAGTTGGCAGCCGCAGGGGCTGTGGGACCGGTACTTGTTACAGAACGGTTGCATTCGGAGGCTTTGCGGTGTTTCGGCTTTGGCTGTAACGGTGGGAAAGAAAAATGGCCCTACTATGCTACAACCGGGGCTGCGGTCAGCGCTTCGATCCCGAGACCAATTCCGATGGTGAGACACACGCCCGTAGTCCTCCCAGGACTCCGCGCCGAGCCCTCTGGGGGACGCCCTTCGCCAAGGCCGGGGCGCGTCCCGGGTCGCCCCTTGCGAGCGGTCATCGCGCCGCCCCAGCCTGGGGCACCTCGCGCGCGGCCCTCGGCGGCCGCCCGGTGCTCCCGAGACCGAACCGCCCCACGCGTGTCCCCGACTGTCCTTACTCTTTAATTCCCCTGGCAGTTTGAACAGGCACCCTTCTCCCCAGTGTCTTTGGGGAAGCACAAGTTAGGAGGTGCTTCTAATCCTTTGGGGCTCCCTTGATAGTACTGGCTGTGATTTCGTGAGAATGGATTTTGGAAGATAGCAGTAGAAAGAGGTGTCGGAGGAGTAGGCAGCGGGTTATGCTGGCCTCTTTAAGTTATGCCTTATTTTAGTGTAGAAGTGTGAAAGCCCACTCCACCTGCTTTTATACATAAACTTTTAAAAATAGTGTTCTTGGCAAGGGAAATGAATGCATCCGCCGTAATGGTACCTTTCAGTAACCTTTCCATGATCGCAGCATTTATTTGTTGCTTATTCTTGCTGTGACCTCTGCCTTTTTAATACCATGCATCTTCAGCATGAAGTGAGCAAGCGAATGTTCCCTACACCACCTAGTTGTAGAGTTACACGTGTAAAGTGAGAGTTAGTGACCACACTAGGTGAACGATTGGAATTGAAAGCTGATTCCTTTACTATTGTGGGACCTGACAACGTTTTCTCAATGTCAACTGGCGTTTTTAATACTTATTTATATGCCACACATTTTATTATCTAATTTAATCTTCACAGTAATATTGTGATGTATGTAATAGACTCATTTAATAGAGTGACCAACTTCAGCATGGTAGTACTGTGGTTCAGCATTGTGAAGGAGATTAAAACCGATGCCTTTAAAAATCTTTTATACCTCTGAGATGTTTGAAATAACTCTTGGCGCACTGGTAAATTGGTGTCATCATTTAAAGTAATATCATTGGGCCGGGGATTTAGCTCAGTGGTTCCGCCGCCTGCCTTGCAAGTTCAAGGACCTGAGTTCGATCCCCGGTACCAAAAAATAAAATAAAATTAAAAAATAAAGTAATATCATTGGTACAGGACTTTAAAGAAAAGATAAATCCAGTCTATACTATAATCAAGGCAATGCCATTAGCATTTTTATGTTTTATTCAAGGGGAAGTTCTGTATCAGTACGTGACAAATTGGGAAATGAGGAATATTAAAGCCCATTTATGTTCATGGTATGTGTAAAAAAGTAAATTCCTTTTGTGTGTGTATATATTGTATTTTACTATAAAGTAATACTAATGTCTTGTTATATGGATAGTATTTTGGGGGCTTATATTCCGGCTTAAAGTTATATGTGTGACCATTTATTGAAAGTCAGTGTATCCACGTGTGAGATGGTGTAGTGTCTAAAAAAGAAAAACGGGAAGGTCAGAAAAGCCAGAGTACCTCTCAAAGACTGAGTGGTCAACAGTAGCAGATACAGCAGGGAACTTCAGTAAAATTGCTGAAAGTTTATTCACATTAGCAATGTGGGAATTATTTTATAGAGCCATAAGATAAATATGCCAAGTAAATTGGTTGAGTAAATGGAAGGTGAAGAAAATGAAGATAAAAAATAGAAAGCAATTAATAGAAAACTACACTTGGCTACAAGAAAGTTTTATAGGGTGGGAGAGGTTTGCCATTGTACATTGACTAAACAAGGAGTAAAGTTGAAGAAAGGAACAAGTTCTTTGTTGTACCAAGCCAGATGCGGCACCCATCATGCTTAAAAATCTACATTCAGTAACCTTTCTTGATGGTATGGCATAATTTTATGCTTATTGACTTACTTCATCATCTTACAAACTTTTTCTCTATGAAAATTAGACTTAAGATGAGGGCAGGGGATTTCCCTCAGTGGTGCCACGCCTGCCTGGCAAGTGCAAGGTCCTGAGTTTATCCCAGGTACCGAAAAAAAAAAAAAATAGACTTAAGATGATAGACTATGGTAGTTTGTAAAAATATTAAGCAGGTGTTTAAAAAATATAATTGGTAATTTGTATGTGTTAAACACTGGAAAAAGCACAACTTTATAAACTATTTTATTTAATCCATGCATATGAGGAAACTGAAGCAGCTACTAGTGGAAGTATTTTAGGCAGGGTTAGATCCAATATGAAAAGGCAAACCACTACTGTGCTATAGCATCTTAGTATAAAATATTTGAGCAAAACTAATCAGTAAGCCTAATAAAGGCTGGGGAATAAAATGTTCATTTGCTTCTTACTTGCTTTTGAAAGTGGTGATTTTAAAATTTTGTTCGTACTAGTTACACTGAATTTGATTCAGTTCTCATCCAATTTGGTTTGCCACCAGAATCATGGAAAGAATTAAATTTGTGGACCAAGGTATATGATTAAGATGTGACTCATTCCTGCTGTGATTCTGCCAGAACTGACCACTATGATGATTATTTTATGCCTTAGACTTTTATACATTGTACACTATGCTTCTGTGTGTTAAATGATGAAACAGTACTATATTCTCCACTTCTGTTCTGTCAACTTCATGTCTTTTTCCATGTACAGTACATTTCTACTTCTAAACTCTTTTCAGCTTTTAATTTCACTACTGTCCTTAATAGCCTCTTTGTAATACATGGTTTACTTACTGTATCAGGAAAATAACCTAACGTTTATTATGTTAGGTAGTGTAGTATCCATATAACACATGGTAACTAAGGAAGTAATAGTGGCTGTTAATTTTGGGCAAGAATTTTCTCAGAGTTCTAAAAATGAATCATTTTAAAGCAGCACTGGGAATCAGAGGTTGTAAAAAACAGAAAGTTAAACGGACTTGAAAGATTTAAAGGTAGCCTTACAAGAAAATTACAGAGGGATGGAACTGACCTGTTTTATATAAGCTCATAAAACTAGTCAGGAAATATAAGTATTTCTACTACAAGTCTTTAAAAATATATTACACATTACTAATTGTAATAAACTCATTTTCATAAGAGTTAAGTAAAAATTGATGGTGTAATGGTAAAGGAGGGCTAAGGAATCTCTTAAGCATCCTCTATGGATCAGTGCACATAAGTATACTTAAGTTTGATAGTTTTATAGGAGGAGAGTTAAAATATGGTCATATCCTTGGGGCTTGAAGTTTTGATACTAAACAAATCTTACTACAAAGACTAGAAGAATATAATACAGTTTGTTATTTTGGAACTATTCTGTCTTATTTTTATAGTGGTCCTCTTGAATTAGTTTTAACTATTAATAGAAGTTACTTTGTGCTGTGCATCAAACATTAGTGAATTTTTAAGGAACAGTATTACCTGATTTTTGGAAAAATGATTGTCTTACCTAACACATTAAGGAATTAGTGATGTATACCTTTTCTTTGTTATTAAAAATGATATTTTTTTTCCTATTTTTGACCAGATGCTTGTACATACCATCCAGGTGTTCCAGTCTTTCATGATGCCTTAAAGGTAGGAACTAGATTTCTCTTTAGTTTCTTCATATTTGTATAGTAAATCTCAAGATATAATGTTAAATTTCTACTTTTTTTTCTCTCAGCTTGGGTCTTCTGATGATCATTGTAGGGTGCTTTAAACATGTGATATTTTCCACTTATAAAATAATTTTATTTCTATTCTGAATCTTTCCTAATGATTTCTTTGCTTCCTAATGTTGAAATGAAATAGAAACAATTGGGTTGCATCTCATTCTTTTGGTCTGTCATTGTTGGCTAATGAACACAGGTCTTAGGAATGATTGTTATAAACAATGATGCCAGCTCTTGGGAAGCTGAGGTAGGAGGATTGCCAAGAGTTGGAGGCCAGCTTGGACTACATAACAAGAACCTGTCTCTAATGAATAAATTAACGAATGAAGGAATGAATGACGGACATAGCAAGACCCTAAGTGAATAAATGAACGAGCAAACAAAGAAATGTGGACAAACATTTTGACTGGACATTGTCCAGTCTCTGGACAAACATGTTAAGTTTACAGTATTTTTACTGAAGAGATGTGTTATCAGTTTTCCACCTGTATTTCCTTGATGTTCTGGAGAATTGAAGAAATAATAGAATTTATCTGATCAGGTTTTTGATAACATTGATACATTTGAACTTTGTATGTAGTATTTGAAAAGAAATATTGTAATGCAGCTGCCATGGTTTTAGGTGCTACTCCTTTTGTTCTCAGGAACACACCCCGTCTTACTTGTTTAAATCTTACTGATTCCCTTTGACTTCTCTAATTACACTTTCCAGAGAGTAGTTGGCTCTTGGTCTTTCATGGATACATAATCAAATCTAAAGAAAGTTGTAAAGCAGATAACAAGCTTTTTTTTCTGCTTAGTTTTGAGTTAGGAAATCATTCAGTAGGACAGTTTGAGATCAGACTCAGATCTTTCTAGCCTCTTTACAAACCTTTATAGGGGTAAATACTGTGGCTCTGGGGGATACTTATCTTTTTGGGAAATTTTCTTTTTCTGAGACCACTATTTATTGCTTTTTATTTTTCTTGTACTTTTTTTTTTCTATATACTATTTTCCTCCTGTCCCCTGGCCGTGGGCATACTTCACACCTCAGTATTTAGTTTTCTGTTTCTCTCATTGGGTTCATTTGTGTTTTTAAATCTCACTAATGATTTTTAAATCATTTCTATTCATGTATCTCATTAGCAATATAATCACAGTTTTTTAAATGAAGTATTTTTGTTACTCCCACTTCTGCAGTTTTGTTTATTATCTATATTCTGTAAACATTTTTATAGGTCTAGACACTGTAAGACTATTAGATTTCACTGCCTAATACATTTTCAAAAAAAGGTATATCACTAATAACTAGTTTTCTATTTTACAAATAAATTAAACTTGTATTATCAAAAGAAAGAGCTGTTTGATGTTAGAAGACAAACATTCAGAGAAAAGTACAGTCTTTCACATGAGAAGACAGTTATACACATACTTAAATTTTATCCCTCCTTTTTTATTTTACTGAGGACTAGTGTAGGACTCAGATTAGCATATGGGAGCATCTGGTCTGTATCTTGTCTTACATGTATGCATAGCAGTATTTGACATAATTCTGTATAAGTGGTAAAACATTCTCTCTTACAGATAAACTTTTTTGATAGGTTTTGTTTAAAAACTAGTATATAATTTTCTAAACAAATTATTTAAGATAAAAGCATCTTTTCATTATATCCTTTAAATATGTGCTATTTTTATGAATTATGTAGTTTTTTCAGGGTTTTTTTTTTCTTATGTTTCATAGGGTTGGTCTTGCTGTAAAAGAAGAACAACTGATTTTTCTGACTTCTTAAGTATTGTAGTAAGTACTAAGTTTTTTCCTAGATTATCTCCATGAGAATACATATTTATATAAGAAACTGCAAATTTGAGAGGTGTGATCCCTAATATGTATTGACTGATCCTCATGAACTGTAGCATAACACCTTGCTTTTAAAATGGAATTTGTCTTTCCTTCCACGACCTCTAAAATAATTTCTCAGCTTTGCAGATAAAGGTATTAAGATTCTGCTTACTCATTTATCTTTTCAGGTTTTTGATGAATATCAAGAAAGAAGTGGTAGATAATAATTTAAAACATTTTTCAGTTAAGGCAATACATTTTTGTTGAACTTAAGATACCATTGAAATGCATTTTATATACCACTGAGAAAGAAAACTTATTGCCCCCAGTTTACAATTGAGGAAACATTAAAAAGATGATCTTCCTCAAAGTCATAAAGCTTTTAAGTTGGAAGAACTCAGGCTCAAAGTGACACTCTTTGAGTAAAAGACTTTTGTACTTCAAATGTTGTAAAAGCTTTTTTAAAAAAATGCTTTATACAGAGGTAAAAACTAAATTATAAATATAGCAAGTTTTGAGTCTTCTGGTTTCTTACAATCAGTCAATATAATAAAGGTATTTCTATCATGGTATGTAAGATAGGTGAACAGTAATGCCTAATGGGTACCTTTCATTCACAGGGCTGTACAAAAGGTAGACATAATAGTGAGAAACCACCCGAGCCAGTCAAGCCAGAAGTCAAAACTACTGAGAAGAAAGAACTATCTGAATTAAAACCCAGGTTTCAGGAACATATCATTCAAGCACCAAAACCAGTAGAAGCAATAAAAAGACCAAGGTATAATTTATATAGTTGCTTACTTTTGTCACACTTAAATGATGGCATTTGTTTTTGTTATTTCATTTTATCATTTTGCGTAATAGCATTTGTAGCTACTGTAGAGACCACTATTTGTTTTTTCTCTTAAAAAAGTCTTTAATTTTTCTTCCTAAGTTCAGGGCATGTAAAGTAAAATTTAATTACAGTAAAATTTAATTGCAGACTTGCTTATTGGACTATTATAAGTACATACGCTATCAAGGTAGATAAATCACATATCTTTCTTTTGCCTTGAATTAGTTTGAGTTTAAAAAATAAAACCATATTACTCATCTTCACTTTGAGATGCCTGAAAACTGCTATTCTCATTATACTGGTGAATTTTTAATGTATTTATTAGCTAGATTAAAATCTTTTGCTCATTTTGAAGTAGAATTAGACTGCATAATTACCTTGTGACCAAATAGATTGTTTTTCATTTCCACACGTATATTTTGTTTTCCTTATTACATCTGGTCTTCATGCTGCACTTGAGTACTGTTTTAGAACCGTACTGCCAAATTTAAACAGGCGGTTTTATGTTCCTTCATTGATTATTCCTGTTGAAATATTAATTCACACTATAAATTAAGGTGTTCCCCAACTTTTTTTCTATTAATATTACTGAAGTAAATTAATAAAGTATTGAATAATAATCAGTTCAAGATAAGAACCTTAGCCATAATGCTTGTTTGCTCATCCCCTTAGAAGATCATTGCTAAAGAAACTACTGGGAATATTATTTCATCTCCATTCATGTTTTGTTCTATTTTCGGTACCGGGGATCAAACTCGGGTCCTTCCACTTGCGAGGCAGGTGGCAGAACCACTGAGCTAAATCCCCGGCATCCATTCATGATTTTGAGAGCCTATCAAATGCCTTGCTTGCCAGCCAGTTAATGTACTAAAAATAAACAAAAATTCTGCTTAACAGTGTGAGTTACTATTACTTTCTTTAAATGATGGTCTAGTAATACTTTTTCTTAAAGACTCAGTAAGAGAAATTAAACATTTAATCCTAAATTCATAGTCATTTGGTGGTATTATAGAAATTATTAGGTTAAAGGCTTTATGTACAGTATTTTGTTAACATTTGTCAGTTTTTTCATTACTCTTCATTTTGTAGAATGAGTAATTTAGGATTTCTACTTTTATTGCTGCAATTATTAATACTCAATACTTTTTGTTGAATAGGCTTAAACAGATCGATTGCAAGGAGTGGGGACAAGGTCTTGCCATGTTGCATAGGCTGGCCTCAAAATCACAGCCCCCCCCACCTCAGCCCCCCCATATAACTGGCATTATGGGCATGCATCACAGTATTTGGGAGACTTAAACAAATTGTATGTGCAAAACTTAACCATTATGAAATGTCACTGTATGTTTTTTACAAAGCTTTTTTGTTAAATCTTAGAATGTAGTTTATAACAATTTGTAAAATATTTTTATTCGTAATAACTTTATTCACAATTTTTCTCATGAAAGTTCTATGGTTTTTGAGTACAGAGAAATATTTTGCATATTATAATAATGATGATGAGGTTTTAAAATTCCCCAGCCCAGATGAACCAATGACGAGTTTGGAATTAAAAATATCTGCCTCCCTAAAACAAGCACTTGATAAACTTAAACTGTCTTCAGGAAATGAAGAAAATAAGAAAGGTAATATTTACTTTTATTTTATTGGAATTGTTTTCTACATAATTAAAGTCATCCAAAAGAGGTAGCATTTACTGAATACTGAATATGGGTGTGAAAATTTAGCACATTGTAGTGAAGCACTTTTACTTTTTTGGAGCGAGTTCTTGTTTATTAGTATACATTTGTAACTCATGCAGTTTACAGTCATCTTGGGGAGGGTTACATGTACATATTACAGCTTGGTTTGTTTTTTTTAATCTCCTTCCTCCTCCCTCCTCCCCCTTCATCCTGTGATTCCCCAATCACCTTTTTCATATCTGTTGATGCTATTTGTCTTTGCACATATTATGGCTTATAATATTTACATTGATTAGGGTTATTAGGTTCCTGTACATGGCATCTTTATTCCTTTCATCTTCCCTTACCCCTTACCCTTCTCCTTGTTCCTTTGTATCATTTCCTTATTGTGCAAAATCTGTCCCCTTCTCCCTTTCTTTTTTCATTTTCTTTGTACTTTGCCTCACTCAAATGAGGGATACCTCGATATTCAAGCTTGTCTGTCTGATTTATTCCACTCAGCATTATGTTTTCCAGCTGCATCCATTTTCCTACAAATGCCTCAAATTTGTTTTTCTTCATAGCCGAGTAGTATTCCATTATATATACATGCCAAATCTTGTTTATCCAGTCATCTGTTGGGTATACAAGCCATGAAGCACTTTTTTCTAAGTGCTGATAATACTACGGAGTGAATGTATAGTTCATTCCGTTGTCTTTACTGAAAATGAGAATCTTTTTTAAAAGTTTTTTTATAGTTATTTTAAACTTACATTTCTTTAATACTTAAAAATATTTCTATGCATAATACATGTTTAATATTTAATAGATGTTTAATATTTTCTGATCTCTGCCAGATACCGTGGAACATAACAACCTTTCCTGATTTCTTTTACAAGGTTGAGATACTGGACAAAGCATTGCATTGAGGAAATGTGTTGTGTATTACTTTTGGGATATAGGCCAAACCTAATTACAGTAGTTGACTTTTTTGTTCCCTCAGTACTGGAAATTGAACTTGAGACTATTCACTTGCCAGGCAGGCATGGCGCCACTGAGCTTCATCCCTGCCCCATTGTTGACTTTTAGTAAGGCTTGTTTTGCAGAAAAATTGCTTTTTAAGACTAGCCAGTGGATTTCTATTTTAATATTTTAACTTTATTCTTTCTTATGTTTTGAAAGAAAACAGTAATGAAATTTCCTTTTTCTTCATTTCAGAAGAAGACAGTGATGAGATTAAGATTGGGACCTCATGTAAAAATGGAGGATGTTCGAAGGTATGTGCTATAAAACTTGTGATGTTTTGAAGTAAAATTTTAATTTGGAGGAAAGTGCACATCATTCTCAAATTTAGTGCACAGTTAAGTATATAATATGTTAGGGACTATGCTAAAGACTTAGGCTATAAACATGGATAAGAGACTCAGAACATATGAAATGTAATAAAAATCATGAGAATAAATCTAATTAAATTAACATTTACTAAACTCTTAATATGTGCCAGACATTGTTTTAGGGGCTGGAGATAAAACTATCAGATAAAACAAATCACTGCTTTGTAGAACTAATATTTTATCGTGAATATTATGAACTCATGAAGAGAGGGAACAAATAATGCAGAATAAGAAACTAGAGTAGATACAGTTAGGAAGTATTTAAATAAGATTATCAGTGAAGTTCTTTTTGACATGGTAACATAAGTCAAGATTCTGAGTAAGGTACTGGATGAGTTGTAAATCTGGAGCAATAGGAAGGATGAATAGAGGCTTTTGAGCTTGGCTTTTAAGAAATAGCAAGGTCATCACAGCATGGGCAAGGTGTGAAAGTAGTGTGAAAAGAGGTAGACAATAGAATGGAGGTCTTTATAAAGCATGATGATAAATTTGAGCGTTATTCTAACTGTAATGGGGAGCCACTACCTGTTTTAAGGACAAGTTTGATTTCTTTGGTGAAGAGCAAATGTATGCTGTTGGAACCAGCTTAGATGCTGTTATAGACCTAACAGTGGGATTGAAGAATAGAAGTCTGTTAAGTGGTTAAATATGGAATATAATTAATGTCCCAGGGAGACCTTTTATTGCCTACTCGTAAGTTTGCATACATGGTGAACATTTTCTTTCTCTCTTTCTCCATTACATTTTTAACCTTTTTTGACTCATTTTGATACCATATAACACTCTCCTCCCCATGTAAGACTTACAATAATAGAGTCTTGTTTTTGTTGGTTTGTTTTGTTTTTTTGCAGTACAAAGAATTAAACCTGGTCCCTCTACACTAAGATATCCCCAACCCTTTTTTATTTTTTATTTTGAGACAAGGTCTGGATAAGTTGCGCTGGCTGGATTTGAACTTGAAATTCCCATGGCTCAGCCTCCTCAGAGTTCTGGAATTACATGGGTCTACTACTATGTCCAGCTTTGGTTTACTTTGTATATTGTGTATTAGAACAGTGGCCAGCACATAGCAAATACCTGAAGCAGGAATGGCATAATTTGGAATTATTGGCAGGACTTGTTAATAAATTGGGTATGAAAGGAACTTCTGGCTCAAGCATGTGGATGACTGGTGGTGTTATTAAAAAGTGAAGGGGCCAGGGATTTAGCTCAGTGGTTTTGGTGCCTGCCTTGCAAGTGCAAGGTCCTGAGTTCGATCCCTGGTACCAGAAAAAAAAAAAAAAAAAAGTGAAGATAGGGTCCGGGGGATGAGATTTTATTTTTTCCACTTGTTGAAGATTTAAATTCACCTTGCTTTTTGAGGGCATGGAAAGAGAAGTATTTTCACATGTATATAATGCAGTTGTTAAAAGGGAGTAATTAATTCCTGGAATGAAGAAGGCAGTGCAAATTTTAGAGTAATGGAAAAAGATCAAAGAGAAGATATCAAGTGAGTTTTAAAAGTGGAAAAAAAGGATATTCCTGGAGGAGGTGATAGCAGTAATATGAAGAAAAAATAGTAGGGATTGTTTAACATTTGCTGTTGTGGAATTGAAATAAAAGGATGAACAGTGCTCACTCAAATCTTAACAGTCTTTAATAGTACTTAGAAGTTAAGTCTTATATTAGACTATGGGAGACCATTAAAGATATTTTTCATTGAAATTTGTTAAAATATGTGCAAATATAAATTTAGAGCTAAGCAATTTTCGTAGTGTAAATATACCAGCATTTGTAGAGCATTCCATAGGCCTCTTGCATTCATTTTTCTTCCCCTACACATAACCAACCACCTCTTCCAGTCAACTTTGATTATTAGTTTTGCCTGTTTTTTAATTTAAGTAAAATCACAGCACATGTATTCTTTGTCTTTTTTAATATATTTGTTAGATTTATGTTTGTGTGTGTAGCCGTATTTTGGGGTATTTTCATTGCTTTAAGGTATGATGCCATTGTTTAAAGGTACCACAATTAAATTTTCCTTTCCATTGTCCTTTAAAAAAATTTTTGTGAATGTTTTGTGTATGACTTTGGGGACTTGTGTATATTTGTTTATGTGACTAGAAATGGAGTTGTATGTATACCTTCTGCTTTAACAGACACTTCACCTCATTTTCCAAGCTGGTTGTGTTACTTTATATTCTTATCAGTAGTATTGAAGCTGGTTCTACTTGTTTCACACTTTATTTAGCCATTCTGATTGAATGTGATGTTTTCATTGTGACTTTAGTTTGCACTTCACCAATAGTGAGATTGAATACCGTTTTTGTGTGTTTATTAGCTAGTTGTATATCTTCTGTTGTGAAATGTCCAAAGTTTTTATGTGATTTTGCCCTTTTCTTACCAATTTGTAGGGATTGTTCGTGTATTTTACTACAGAGTCTTTGTCAGGGATACTGTGTATGTTTAGTGTTCTAATGATGGCTTTGATGAATCAGCACTTTAATTTTAATGAAGTGCAGTTTGTCCATTTTTGCCTTCATGGCTAGTGCAACATCTTATTCAAGAAATACTTGCTTACTTCAGGGCCACAAGTAAAGAACTTTAAACAGGAGAGTGATAGTAATTAGTTAATTGTAATAAGTAGAGAAGAGAAAGCAAAGGGAGAGAAGTGAGTTAACAGTAATAGAGAAAAATAGTATAGTTAATTGCCTAAGCTCTGTTACCTTATAGGTAAGATTAGCAAACTAAACTGATAAATGTTTTCAAATGAAATTGACAGGGTTTTATGATATATTACATATAAGTAAAGAGAAAAGTGAAACTAAAATGTGGAAGATTTTGCTTTGGAAGACTGAATGGATATGATACCATCAAATAAGATGGGAAGAAAAATAGGTTTAGGGGCAGTAGTGGTAAATTCAAAATCTAACATACTGAGATTTATATGAATGTGGAATATCTTTAGGAAATAAATGCACCTAGTGCTTGAATTTACAAAAAATAAACACCAAATTTTATTTTCTTTACTTATAGGTAGTTAATATAAATACAGAAATATAAAGAAAATATAGTACTGGCTGCATCCGTGTTTTATTAACATAAAATTTTTGTGAATTCATCTGTAGAGCCTTCATCTACAGCAGCAATGGGGCCCGGATCTTCCAGACAAACCATGGATATATATATAGGTCTGCAGCTCATTTTACCATTTTTAGGGATAAGAAATCACCACTCTAGAACTTCCAGAATTGCTTTTTAGATTTCCCAAGAGATTGCTATACACATAAATCATGCTGTAATTATATTTCTGTCGAGAGTCCTGATCTCTTGGTTTCAACATGTTTCTGTAACGCTAAATATGTGAATATGGTTGGATGAGACCTCATACCCAAAAACTTGAAAGCATCTTAATATAACCTGTTACCTACTTTTCTGTTTGCCTTTCTCACAGGGACCTAAAATTTAACCATATCCAAAAGGGAATTATTTTGATTCCTTAATGGGATGGCCTGGATGAACTTAATCAATGTTCTAAGTAACTATTGTCATTTCATGAATATTTTGCAGTTCGTAGAGGTAACTAGTACTACAAATACATATGACATGTAACTGAAATGTGCAACTCTTTCTCTTTTTGCTCTTTTAGACATATCAGGGTCTACAGAGTCTAGAAGAAGTCTGCGTATACCATTCTGGCGTACCTATTTTCCATGAGGGGTAACTTATGCATGACTCATTAAAATATTGTATGGTAGAGGTTAGAGATTTAGTTTTTTTAAAAGTTATTTTCTGTGCATGTTGAACATTTTGCTTACATTGCTATTTCATCTTATACAATAACCTAAAAATGTAAGGTTTGTCTTCTTTAAACACGTGAGAAAAACAAGGTTACAGTTATTTCATAACCATTGTGATTTAAACCCTCCATTTTTTCATTATACGCTGTATTTTTCTGTAGGTACTCTTCCTCTTTGGGATAAATTTACATCCTTTGTTTGAAGGGCCATGCTGCATGTTCAGGACATTTAAAATTTTTGCCCTTGGGCATTTAAGGGAACCTCATCTGAGAAAAATCCATATCTTTTCATAGTTCGCAGTACAAGTTATCTTCTATGTTATGCTGTAGTTTATAGAAACAGAGTACTGTACTGAAATCTGTTTCCATATGTACAGGACTCAAGTCTGAAGTTTCACTATAATTACTAGCTTCCTGCATTGGATTTTTCTCAAGTAATAATGGAGTTCTCCTGTTTATGAATGATCATCACTGGTTGTATAAGCTAGTTTTTGTTTGATGTTTTTTTCTTAACTGGGTAACTGAATGTGAAGATTACAAATCTTTGGTCCTATTGCACTTCGGTAACTTCATGAGGAAGTTGGACCATGAGCTCTCAGTGAAAAGCTAACTTGGAATTTTGTTGTTTTTAGTGTCTTCAGGAGCTCCAAAATTATTACAGTAAATGGCACTAGGGTTTTTAAATTATTGGTATTCCTGATATGTATACAGTTTTAACAGTTTTAGTGACTTAAGATACTAAAGTTGCACACTTACTGATTTTAAGAAAAAGTCATATGTCACCATACTTCTGGATTTAATTGAGATTTTACTTCTGAAAAAATTTTTTGTAATGACTTAAAGGATGAAATATTGGAGTTGTTGCAGAAGAAAAACCTCTGATTTTAATACGTTCTTAGCCCAAGAGGGCTGTACAACCGGGAAACACATGTGGACTGAAAAGGATTCTGTAAGTAACCTTTACAGAATAACATACTGCGTTGTATTCATGTTAAGAGATTTGGGGTTGGGCCGGGGATTTAGCTCAGTGGTTTCGCGGCCTGCTACGCAACCGCAAGGACCAGAGTTCGATCCCCGGTACCAAAAAAAGAAAAAAGAAAAAGAAAAAAAGATTTGGGGTTATTCTGTCTTTAGACTTTTTTTTTTATTTCTTTCTCATACAATAACAAGTGACATACCCACAAAATGAAATTAATCTGAATCAAGCTTTCTCAGCACTGCTTATTGAGCAAAATAGCCATTGTGTGTTGTTTATGCAGGTATTTGGATTTTTGTGAAGTACTGAAGCCTGCCAAAATTGAAGTGTCTTTGTCTTTTACTATTAAAATTAACTTCAAAGCCTATTCTTTTTGTTTTCTTAAAAATTACTGTTCTGTTAATTTGATGTTAAAAACATTTACATTTCTGATTCTTTTTTGGTCACTTAAAATTTCTACCGTTCACAGATATAAAACACACCAACCAAAGAGGAGAAAAGCAGATTTGTTTCACTGGACTACTTTTGAATTTCTCTGCTTGTTACAGAGAAATTTATCAAGAAAAAAATAAAGTATCCCTACTTCCTTGGACAGCTTTATAAAAAGACATGCAGCTATGCACATAATTCCCTATAAGCCTATTAAATTATAGGAAGGAAAGCAATTTATTGCTAATATTTACCTGTTAGCTGTTACTATGCTAATGTTGTTATGCTAAATAAATGAATCTTTTGTGCTATTTGGCACTAATAATCCCAATATAGTACACCTTTTATGGTTCATAAACCTTGTCTTTTAACTTATAAAATAATTATAGCTGCGTGTGGTGATCCACACCTATAATCCCAGTGCTCAGCTGAGGCAGGAGTTCAAAGCCAGCGTGAACTATGTATTGAGTCTTCCCATCTCAAAAAAGAAAAGAAAGAAAAGTATAAATTTTCAGATTCAGAGATTTAGTCAACGTTTGAGTATTCTATATTTGTTACTTTTTAATAACATGGTTGAACATACTAGTGTACCTTCCAAAATTAAAATAACTTAACTGACTAAAAAATTTTTCTTGTATTCTAGGGGAAAAAAGTTGTTCCATGTAGACATGACTGGCATCAGACTGGGGGCGAAGTCACCATTTCAGTGTATGCTAAAAATTCACTTCCTGATCTTAGTCGAGTAGAAGCAAATAGTACTTCAGTAAGTACACTAACTGAGTAAAAATTGTGTTCCACACATCGTTTTTATTTTAATGTATTATAAAATACCCTTTTCTATTTCAGCTGATTTTAAGACCTTAAAATACTTTCCATGTGAAAAAAATAATTTTAAATTCCCTTCATAAAAATTTAAATGCCTGCCTTGGTGATACACACCTGTAATCCTAGCACTTGGGAGTCTGAGGCCACTGGGTTGCCTCAAGTTTGAGACCAGCCTTAACTACATAAAGTGAGACCACATCTCAAAAAAACAAGAAGAAAGTTTTAAATAAAAAATTATTTCTTTTTCCTAAAGCATTCTGGAGATACATAGGCGTTTACAAGAGCTAACAGCCAGTAGCCGGGAATTTAGCTCAGTGATACCACACCTGCCTCACAAGCACAAGGTCCTGAGTCTAATCCCTGTTACAAAAAAAAAAAAAAAAAAAAATTAACAGATAATACAGTATTCTCATAATGAAACTTCAATTTTTCTTTTCTGTTCATGGTTTTCATAAATTAAAAAAGAATCACAATATTGCAAATTTCTTAAAATAGCTTAATATCAGTATCTTATTTTTATAGTCAGTGATTGCCATTCACCTTCAGTGTGAATTTATTAACTTTTGGCTAGGGCATAACTCAGTGGTGAAAGGCCCTGGGTTTAATTAGCAACCAACCCAAAATATCTAACCAACTTTCTGATCTTTTTTAGTTAAATGTGCACATTGTATTTGAAGGAGAGAAACAATTTCATCAAAACGTGAAATTATGGGGTGTAAGTATTATGAACCCATCAAATTTTTTTCTGATAATTTAAAATATCTTTTGCAGAATAAAAGGCAATGCTTTAGTAAATACTAATGGAAAGTATAGACATATAACATTAATACAGCTTACCAAAAAATTTAAATGTAAATGTAAACATAGCCTTAGAGGCTTGCTTTGGGTATTAACATACGCAAGACTGATATTTTTCTAATACAGTACTAGTAAAACTGCCCCAAGTTTTCTCTTAATTCTTCAATATTATAGGTGATTGATGTAAAGCGAAGTTATGTAACGATGACTGCTACAAAGATTGAAATCACCATGAGAAAAGCTGAACCTATGCAGTGGGCAAGCCTTGAACTGCCTACAACCAAAAAACAGGAAAAACAAAAAGAAGATATCACAGATTGAGTAGAAGAAGAAAAAGCTATTGCCTATTTCAGAATTCTTAATGACATGTGGTGAAGATGTGGCTTGCTGCTGTAATCTTTTTTTGCTGTTTTTGTCTGTGAATTTGGCATTTCAGGGTCAACGTTGGGTTCTTAAAACCCAAAGTCAGGTTATCTTTTTGTCTTCTGTCTTCCTTTTGAGTTCTGTAAGATTCACTATTCATTTTTCCTGTTAGAAGAATATTTGTGTCCCATACTTGAAGAAGCTGGAAAATAGCTCATAAACATAATTGTAGGATTTCTCAGTACAATACAGTGTTAGGCAGAAAAATAATGTAAGACTTTTTAAAGAACTTTTGTCCCATAATTGGTAAAGTATAAAATGTCAATTTTTAATCAGATATTTCATGGATTTTTGCTAACAATACTTGAAAGCCTTTAGGGAAGATCTGCATTGTCTTCCTATATGGATAGTTTTTCTAGGAGGATTAATTCTGAGATGAAAGGTAAAAGGGAATATGTGTTGACTAACAAATTAGAATTCTTTAACAGTTTAATGTAAAAATTAAATCGATACCTATACTGCTTGCCAAACAGATTTAAAAATACGTGAAGTAAAATTATAGAAGTATCAATCTGGCTAAAATTAACCATTTTATAGGACTAAGCATTAATGTTAAAAATCTCTTTTCTGATTATTTGTATAATCTTATGACTAAATTATACTTGATTTACATACAGTCTTAAGACCTTTTAATCTTTTAGTTGACTATAAAAAGAAATACATATCCGGTTTCCATGATGGATGAAAAACTGTAAAAGTGTAAACATAAAGGTTTGTGGCAAAACATTGAAGGGAAAAGTAAATACATAAGTTTTGCTTTATGACAACTATTACATGTTGAAATAGCTTAATTCTCTCAGAGTTTTGTTTTTAAAGCTTTCATGAAGAGCTGCGTAATTTTAGTGGCATAGTATTGATTATAGTGCTTCATTTCTAGTAAATGTAAGTAACACAAAATTCAATGGTTTATGCCAACTGCACCTATTAACGGGTTATTTTTTGAATCAGTGCGGAGCTCCAGAAGAAGTTGTACATTAAGAACTGTTAAGTTTGTAGCTCTGGCAGAACTTAATAATTTGGGGATAGTCATATTAAATGATTTAGTCATATTTATTAAAAGTAAATTAAAAGGGATTTATTTCCAAAACCCTTAGAGTAATAACATTCTTACAAAGACATGTGCTGAAGAACTATTTTAGTTAATACTTTGTATATATCATTCTACTATTGTCAGCAGATAACTATTAGACCTATTAGTTACATAATTTAAAGGTTTAGCTCTGTCACAATTATAAAGTCAAAAAAGTGGCAACTATACTTTGTTGACATTGAAATAACATGGCAAGAAATTTGACAGTAAAGAGTATGTAAGTCTCTAATACTGAAAGAGATGTGTTTAAGGCTTTTAGAGTTTTTTTCTTGTTGTAGAAACCCTGGTTAAGAGCGGGGGATTTAGTTCAATGGCACAGTGCCTGCCTGAAAAGTGGAAGGTCCTGAGTTTAATTCCTGGTACCAGGAAAAAAAAGAAACCCTGGTTAATTTAGAGACAAGGAGTTTTGTTTATCATTTGTAGAAAAAGGTTGAAAATTTGATTCACAGTAATTTTCATTATATCATTTTAATGTTTCCTTCTTGAGGCTGCTTTCTCCTGAACATACCTTTAATCTGTTATGGTTGAACTGTTATTTAAAGCAAGTAAAATATTCTAACCTCAGATTTAAAAGCACTATTTCTTTTGATATAGCTATATAGACCAGTTTCATTGGTGACAATTTTATTATTCCTAAAATCCTCTGAATGTGTTGCCCAGATGAAAATTTAAGTGATACTTACCTTAGACTCATGTATACAGGGACACAATTACAGTTAGATAGAATGTTTTAGTCTATAAATTTGTCAAAGTTAATAAAAAATGCTTGTTAACTTTACTGAGTCATTTCTCTTGAAATAATCTTTTTCTTTTTTAGCATTCAAAGTAATTAGTATTGCAAAGCAGTAAAAGCAAGGTATATTATGTACTTAGTAACTGACTTCAACATGGAAAACCTAAAATGATATTTTTCTTGCCTGGAACATTTGCTAGTATAAAGGAAAGAATGTCCTAAGAAGTTGAGCTTTCTTTTTTTAACTTTTATTTTTAGATGTTAGTTTTACAGAAGAGTTGTAAAAAGCAGAATTCTTTCTTGTGCATGAATCTCCTTATGTTAAAATCTCATATAACCATAGAACATTTATAAAACTAAGAATTAACCTTGATGTAGTACAGCTTTGTAAGTAGAACATTTATATTTTTTAAATAAATTTTATTTTATACTTTTCCTCCCCTCAAGCCCCCTCCCCTCCCTATATACAAAAGCTTTGTTTCAATTTTTTCCTTCTATTTTCACTTTTTTCTTGTCCCTTCCTTCTTTTCTCCCTCCCTCCTCCCTTGTTCCCCTTTCCATTTGAACACTCTTCCCATTTCCCAACATCCATTACACATTTCAGTCCTTATTTCCACTTTTGTTTTCTCACACCAGAGAAACAATGCTGTATTTAAACATGTGCGTCCGATTTATTTCACTAAAGAGTATGGTCTCAAGGTCCAACTATTTAACTATAAATGTCTGAAGCTCTTTCTTTATGGCAGAGTAGTACTCCATTATATAAAAAAAACCACATCTTTATCCACTCGTCAGTTGATGGGCATTTGAGCTGTTTCCAAGATTTAGCGACTACAAACCCTGCTGCTATAAACATAGGTGTGCAGATATCGCTGTGGTATGCTTTTAATTCTTTTAGGAAGATATCAAGAAGAGGTATAGCTGGGTCAAATGGAACCTCAAGTTTTAGTTTTTTGAGAAATCTCCACACTGATTTCCACAGTGGTTGCACCAGTCTCCCATTAACAGTGGAGAAGGGTTCCTTTTCCCCACAGCCCCTCCAGCATTTGTTATTGGTTGATTTCTTGATTGCCGTTCTTTCTGGAGTGAGATGGAATCTCAGCATTGTTTTAATTTGCATTTCACGAATGACCAATGATGTTGAACACTTTTCCATATATTTATTTGGTGTTTCTAATTCTTCATCTGAGAAGTGTATCTCAGATGCCCATTTTTGCATTGGGCCTTTAAACTGGGGGGTGGTCTGATTTTTTTTAGCTCTTTATATATTCTAGATAATAGTCCTTTATTGGAATAGCTGGTAAAAATTTTTTCCCACTGTGTGGGTTGTCTCTTCACTCTGTTGGTGGTTTCTCTTGACGTTTAAAAGCTTCTTAATAAGATGAGGTCCCAGTTGTTGATTCTTTGTAGTATTTCCTGTGCGGTCTGGGTTTAGAACATTTACTTTTAATTCCTCTATTTTTAGTAAAACTATTGAAGTACTATAAACAATTAAACTGAAATGGTTTACAGGTTAGTGTAACTTAATGATGTGACTGTGTATTGGCAAAGAATTGGTTCTAATTAACTTTGTGCCAGGAATTTTCTTAAGTACTTGTTTTTTTTGTTGTTTTGTTTTTGTTTTATTACTAGGGATTGAACCCAGTGCCTTCACACTGAGCTACATCCCCAGCTCTATTTTGAGATTGGTTGCTCAGTCTGGGCTCGAACTTGGAATCCTCCCGCCTTGGCTTCTCAGAGTGCTGTGCTTACTGATATGCACCATCATAGCTTGTTTGATTTTCTTTAAACAGTTCTTCAACCATTAAAGATTGAAGAGGACCTTGAAATATTCTTGCAAATATTTTATACTCCCATTGAGTTACTGCTTCCCTAATCCCCACTTTAAAAAAAAAAGTCATTTCCAAGTCTGGAAATGTGTATCTTGAGTATACCCATAATAAGTAAACTTTTAAAGACAGATTCATGAGATAAGTCTGTTTTAAGGCATTTGTACTATATAACTTTTTTTTTTTTGCACAGGGACTCACTGTGTAGCCCAGTGAGGCACTTGAATTCACTATCAATGTGTATCCCAGGCAGGCCTCAAACTAGTGATCCTCCTGTCTCAGCCTCCCTAGTGCTGAGATTACAGTCCTATGCTACCACATCCAACAGGAACTTTTATCTATTTGAATTTTAACAGACTGTTTGATTGCAAAAATATGTGCAAAGTATTTACTTTAACTGAAATTCATCTGGTGTTGTATACCTTGCCAATTGTAAGTAACTATAAATGTCTGTTTCTATATATGTGGCACATCTTTAAAATACCAGGCTTGCAGAATTTTTTCTGCACTATTTAATTTTATGTTTTCAGGAACTTCAGATTTTAAGAATTCCTTCTGAATTTTGGGGTTTTTTTTGTTTTCTTTTGAGACAAGGTCTTACTGTGTACCCCAGGCTGGCCTCAGACTTGAAGCAGTCCTCTGGCCTCGGCTTCCTGAGTGCTGGGATTACAGGCGGCACCACCATGCCTGGCTACATCGAATAGTTTTCTGAAGGTGATGTCTTCATTAAATAATCATTAATGATTTCTTGGTTTTCTAATGTTATAAGCCACCTTTAATGTCCCTTGAAATTAAACTAACAACCTTAAACATTTTATGTTGCTTAAATATTGTTTCAAAATACCTTGTCATCCCTTCTCTATTAAGCAGATAATGCTGTTCAAATGATTAGATTATCTTTTTTAAAAGATTTAGCCAATTACGTGATTAAAAAGGGGAAAACCTTAAATTTGAGGTACTTTTCCCTCCAACAAATTAGATGAAATTATTAATGGGGTATTTTGTGTGATTAGCTTGTTTTTGTCTATTCCGTGGAAAACTGCATGATTTATATTTTAAAAGTTTTTATTAAATTTTTTTTTCTTCCAGTATTTTATCTAAGACATTATATGTAATCATCGTGTCTCAATAGATTTCTCTTGGTTTTGATACTTTCTCAGACTCAATACCCAAAGTTGTGAGGAGTACTGGTCATTTTGTAGAATGTCCCTCGGCTGAGATTTGTCTGATGTCTTTCTTATGATTAAATATACTTTGGGGAAAGAAAAACCAAAGAAGTAATATGCCATTTTTCTCTGTCTCAATGGTATATCTGTCAAAATAACTTGATCAGTTGGCTGAGGTAGTGTTTGTGAGGTGGTTTTTTTTTTGTTTTGTTTTGTTTTTTTTTCTTCTGCCTGTAAATACTTGTTTTCCTCCTTTCTGTTCTTTGGAAGAAAGTCCCCAATACACAGCCCACATTTATGAATGTAGTAGGGAGCGAGTTAACTTCCAGCTCCTTGAGGGCAGAGTATCTAGAAGTTGCTTTGAGTTTCTGCTCATTTTTATGTCCTTCCCACTTAATACATATGAGTATAGAATATAGATTGTGTATTTTATGTTTGAGGTTAAGTGTTAGATTGCTTAAATTATTCCTGGCTGTTCCAGCCTTTAGGTTGGTTCCTATTTTTCTTTGTCGTACCTGTTTCATTGTTGGTTTTTGTATGTAGGTGATTAGCTTTGAGGTTTTTTTGTGGGGTTTTTTTTAGCACTTATTTTCTGGCATTTCAAGATGTTCCACCCTCGTTTTGTATATTTTCTACCCAAATTCTGGAATCAGCCATTTCTCTGATAATCTGCTTACTTTTTATTGGGAAATCATATTAGAAACTTATCTGGGTACTCTGTTTATTGCTAGATGAATTTGATAGGAAAGAACTTGTGGAGAGGGAGTAGACTCTGGGAAGTATAAGGGCATGAAATACAACAGAAGCAGCAGGAAGAGAAGGATAGGTAATACTAAATGAGTCTGAAGATCTTGAAGCCGAGTGAAAATTTAGAATACCTCACAGATTTGGAAGTAGAGGGAGAAGCTAAAAGAATGACAGATTTTGGAGGAAGTGATTTTTGTCAGTGGGCCTGCTAAGTCCAAAACTCTGAACAAATTGACATGAATTGGTTCAGGGTATGAAGCTTATAGACAGGCCTCTCCTCCTGTATTGGAGTAGCTGTCCTTTGTGTCATCCCGTAACACCCCACCCCTACCCCCCCAGCACACAGCCTGGGGAAGGGCTCACAGTGAGGAGGAAGAGGACACCCTCCTGGTAGCCAGATAAGCTGAGTCAACCCTGGTGATCAATGGGGTGACAGATGTTGCAGCCAGATCACCCTCACATCCGAGAAACATGTTCTTAAGTTAGAGGAAAATGTTATGTGTCAGGAAAATTCATAAGTGTTTAATACATAAGGCTAATTGCAATTTATGAGATCATTAAAATTTATATAAAACCTTAAGTTTCCCTGCTACAGTAAGTCCTTGGATTGCAAGTAACTTGTTCTGCGAGTGTTCCGCAAGATGAGCAAACATTTCTAATACATCTTAATGGTGTTTAAGCAACATCTTGCAGTACATTACATGAAACCCAGATTCCAGTAACAAATTGATTCCAGACTTCCTACTTCACATTAGAGGCCAACTGAGGCCATTTTTAATGACTTAAAGAGGCCTTCACATCCTTTTTTAGCCTCAATAAAGCCACTTGAATTTATCAGCAGGAAAAGACTGAGTAGGAGACAGAGGAAGGAAGTTTTTTAAAAAGAAAACCAATGGAAATCAGAACTGAAGGACAGATGAAATTCTAGTCCCATTTTTAATGTAGCTAAAAATCTTTAGGAAAAGGAGCTAGTTACAAGACTTTGTAATTCACTGATTAGAGGACATTTCAAAAATTCTATCTGTGCTTTACAAATTTGCGAGATGTTAGTGAAAGGACGTAAATTGAAGCTATAATGACGTTTTCTTTTTTTGCACAATTAGTGAAAGCACGTTGCCAAGTGCAACACCTTTTCATTCACAGAGCATCTTCAGAATTATACTGTATGCTATTAATCAAATTCAGAGGCAAAAAAAAAAGTCACATAACTTGGTTCAGATCACAGACAGTAAATGGTGATTTTTTTTTTTCCAGTATTGGGGATTGAACCCAGAGTCTTCGCACTAAAATACACCCCCAGTCC